ATATATATATATATTTAGTGTTGCATGTAGCATTCACCCCTTTTTTCTCGTTCGTTCGTTCGTTCGTTCGTTCGTTCGCTCACTCTCTCGCTTACAATAATAAATTTCATTACGAATGCCTCGTGCACCAACGAATTAATCTGTGGCATCGCTCTCTCCCTCTCATTTTCCCCTCTTTTTTTTTCTTTTCGTGTAAGCCCCCGACATTAATGCAATCAGCTGAGAAAAGAAAGAGAACAATGCCGGCTGGATGCAAGTATCGTTGGCTGCTGATCATCTCGCCACTCAATTTTCGGTGGCCACGAACGTCATCTCTGAAGGGAAACTACTCTAAAGGGACTCTACTCAATCACGTTTCTTTCTTTCTTTCTCTCTCGTTTTTTCTCTCTTTCTCAATTGCTGGACGTTCATTACATACAAGATCTTCCTTTTGTCTCTCAGACAATTAATTGGATGCGACAGTTGGCACGCGCGGCGTTCGTATGTCCGTACTTTGTCAAATATGCCGCTACCGCGAGGGTGTGTACGTCACTTTCAGATTTACAACACTGCCCTAAAAACACAGCCATACTAAGCCAAATACTTTTTGGGTTTCGTCGTTTACACAATTACCTCTCTTTTTCTCTAATAAAGTCGTTTATTTAAACATTTACATTCGATTACCGTCGTTCTTCATAGAAATTTTTGCGCGTTTCTCACGACTGTTCGATTTAAAATAAACAAAAAAAAAAACAAAAAACAAAAAAAGGAAGATAGACGGAAAGGAAAGAAAAAAACGCGTACACAAAATGCGTCCACGATCCCGTTCGATCTTCCGAAGCCTCTAAGCAGCCGATAAAATAAAAAAAGGTGAATTCGATTCGTGAAAGAAAAGAAAGGGGAAAAACTTGATTCTCCTTTTACGGAACAGGTGAAGAAGCAAAGCAGTCATCCGAAGCAACGCGACGCGCGTTCTTTCTCTATGAGCCATTAATCTAGAAGAAGGAATGTCTCGATATCAGGTTTCCTTTTCTTTCTTATTTCTTTTTTTTTCTTATCTTTATTGCTTAATCAAAACTTCACGCATTGCTCAGTCAGATGGGCGCAAAAACAAAGTCAGCGAAACGCGTGTCGCAAACCCGCGACGTCGACATTCGCCAGAAGTGCAGGTGAACGAGTGGACAGCGAACGTCGACGGTGTCGGACGCATCGGGAGCTTCGGAGGATCACAAATCTAACAATCCGCTTGAGAATAATCGGTGTACTCAATCAAGGTCGACCGCTGATCTTGATCGAGTTCCGCCAAGTTGGCTCGCTCGCTCGCTCTCTCTCTTTCTCTCACTGTAAATACAAGTATGTAAAAAGTGACTACACTATATGTGAATGATTACTTTCTTTATAAAAATAACACTATACACACAAATGGATTTGCATATTTATATGTCCATTTAATGTAATTTATATAGATTAATTCTCCAATTGGGGCTTTGAAGACCCAGATGAATTTTAAATTATTCTGCCTCAAATTCGGACACATACAAAAAAGTTAAAAGGTCATATCATTGTAAAATCGTATTCTTAAATGTTAAAAGTACTAGAATTTTGTCAGATTTTTTTTAGAGCTCTAAATTCTTTTCAAAAATGAGACATCAGTGACCCAATTAAACTAGCTCAGTGGGAAAAAAAACATTGGACTTTTTAGGGTTAACTTTAATCTTGATTTAACTTATTCTCTTCCTTTTCCAATTCTTGGAATCAGAAAAAATTAAAACGTAAGCTAAACCAAGATTAAAGTTAATCTACATTGGTAAAAACATTAACATGCAACATAGTGTCATTTTTACACGGAAAGCTAATCATGCACACACACACACACACACATATTGTAGTTATTTTTTACACACTTGAATTTACAATCGTGCGCTCTCTCTCTTTCTCTCTCTAACTTTTCTCTTTCCCTCCGTTTTTTCTTACTTTTCCCCTTCGCTTCGTTGATCCCGCGAGAGTGACTTAACGAGGAACACGATCAAAGCGCGTGCCGCTGAGGGTTGAAATGAGAATTCGTAGCGCATCGGTGTACTTCGAGTGAACGTACGTCTTGAGCGAAGACGTGTACATATGCCGGCGTACGTGTATATGTATACATTTCTCGGTGTAGCTAGTTAAAGAGTATCGATGGTGTCGCTTGATAATTAGCTCGTGAGCTTAGGAGCCCCGAATCGCCCTCGCGTCCGGCTATTTTCTCCTCTTTTTTACATCGTTTTAAGCCCTTCCGGGTGTACGTGTGTACGATTGTATATGTGTACATGTGTAATATTAGTTTTAATCTTCCCTTCCTTCCGAATTACGTTTCTATTTCAATCGTCAGTTGACATAATTGTACACGATATAGCTATATTATACAAAGTATGTACTTCAAAAATATCCGACGCGACGGACCTTTTGAACCACAACATGCTCACGCATTCTCATCGTTATTACTAAGTCATTTTAAATAGGTGATGAAGAAAAAGGTGTAAGTGAATCGGGGAAGGTGGGTTGGGATGGCCGAGCAAGGGGGATGGTTGACAGGAGGAACTTACACTTAGAGCTTTACTATGATACAACACTGGCAATAGTCATGTAATGTGATTCGGTGTGTGTTTTTGTACGCGGGCCAATCTGTAAACCCGTGTGTAGTAATAACGCGCGTGAACTTCTCTCCCTCGTTTGTTGCAAATATTACAATAGATCTATGAATTGATCATAGTAATAGATTAATGTTGATATTAATAATAATAATAATAATAATATATTATATATAATAATAATAAATCAATAATTGATAAAGTAATAATCATCGTAATAATAATCTAGTATTTACAGAGTTTTCACGTGAGGGCCCGGTATCAAATACGCAATTCTTGTTAGTTACATTTTGATTGAACTGTACACTCGCAGTGGACCCTCAATCAAAGAAAACTACCTTCTTCACATCCGTCGACAAAATTAACATTGTTTTATATAAACCCTCCCTCGCGCACACTAGCAGCCTGTTGTGAATTTCTATTTTTTTGTTTTTTTTTGGTTACGACAACGTTAACTCACATAGGCGATACTCTCGATAAGACGTGATTGAACATCTTACCGAGAATATCGCCGCTTCTTTCAAGTTCCACAGACGACTCGTGACATGCGGAAAATACGGAGTCATGTGATAAATTCATAAAATTTCATGGTTAAGGTACAACCTTCGGTGTGGCGCTTAGGGATTATCCTCTTAATAACAAATTTTCTCCTTATTAAACAAATATATTACTTAACGTATGTATGATCTAAATTATCTTTCTCTCCCTTTACATACAACACTCTAGTGGATTCTCCCTATCTATATTATCGTTTATCTTTCAATTACAAATCTTCTTTATCATATACTCTGTAATTTTTCGTTACGGTAATATTAATATAGTAATATATAATTGCGTACATTTACGATACTAATTATGAACTAATAGTATTTGAACTATTGATTAACGTTAATTATACACAACATACATATATATATATATATATATATATATATGTATATGTATATGTATATATATATATATAGAGAGAGAGATATATATATATATATTTGTACGATTTCACTCACCCTGCACGAGTAGCAGTGAGGAAGAGTGGTAGAGTCGAGGGGCTCTGGAGGATACGTAAATAATGATCTTTCGACAGTTTTCCTTTAGTCTTTCGTTCCTCCTCATTCTACTGATTTTTATATCTCTTTCTTTCTCGACCAAGGACGAAAACAATTTTGAGTCTATTTGAGCCAGGCCGAGAAGAATTAAAAAGCACCAACATCGCGTTATCTTTCCTTCTTGTCTTTCGACGCATCGCATAATGTAGAAAATTGAAAGAGAAGATATATACACGCGCGCGCGAACCGAAACGTTTGTTCGCAACATTGAGGATCGCGAAATCGGAAACTATCCTGCGGTCCTAGGGGAGTTCCAAACCCCCAGGCGTGTCAGGCTCAATCGCTCGACAAAATTTGATGGTACGCGCGTCAGGCTTTCTCTTTCAGTCTCTATCGGCGCGCGCGCGAGTTTCAAGATTAATTATCTAATGCTTTTATAATTCCGTTGAACGTTTCGTATTATTTATAAATTCACGCGACGCGGACGGTCGCAGCCATCCGAGCGCCGCCGTTGTCGTCTCCGTTAAGGGAAACACTTACATAACCATCGACCGATGTGATCGTCCGTAACAGTCACTACAACCCCTCGACGAACTTGGAGAGTTGGTCCTGCGGCGTCATCGACGTTACCTCGTTGGCGTCTGCGCCGCTATTCGTGGGCGCCGGCGCCGGCGAGGGATGATGAGGCATAGTGGCGGGATGGCCGGTGGGCGCACCTGGACCGCCACCCAGCTGCGAAAGCATCATCTCGCTAGGACCGCCGCCGAGCTCGTGAGCCGGCGAATGTGTCGGCGTGCCGTGAGGCGGATGATGATGCGGCGATGGTACCGGACCCGATCGCGGCGACGGTACCGGTTGATTACGAGGGGAAGGGACAGGTCGCGGCGAGGGGTTGGGCTGCGGAGATCGGATGGGCGGTGGCGAACGGACTGACTGCATCAACTGTTGTTGCACGGAGATCCCCGGCGGACCCATGACGCCTTGCGGCGAGGGCACGGGCGGCGGAGTAGGTTTCAGACCTGGCTGACCGTAGCCCTGTTCGTTGAAACCGCCGTAACCTAGGAAGTTGGGCAAGTTTTGGTGTCGAGAAAACACACTACGTACTACAGCCCCACTGTTTCCTAAGTAATTACGATGGGTCATGTAATTACCAAGAAGCGGCCGTATAGGTCGCTGTTGACCGTATGGTGGCGCCGGAGGTTGAGTGAACGGCTGCTGCTGCTGTTGCTGCTGCTGCTGTTGTTGTTGCTGCTGCTGCTGTTGTTGCTGTTGAGCCACCTGCTGTTGCCTCTGCTGCATCACCAACATCTGTTGCTTATACCATTGCGACTGCGCTTGTACTGGCTGTTGTTGTTGCGCCTGCTGAGTCAGCATCTGTATCTGTAGTCTACCCTGTTGTTGTTGCTGTTGCGTCTGCTGCTGCGGCTGCTGCTGCTGCGGCTGCTGCTGTTGAGACATCATATGCTGCAAACCAGGTTGTTGTTGGGGTTGATTAGGGCCCAATGGGCCGCCGACACCCCCACCATGCTGACCAGGTTGTTGCTGATGGACAAGCGCCTTTTTATTAAGAAGATCAGTAGTCAAATCTGCGCGTAACAACAAATGTATGATATTTTTTAAAATGTCAATCAACTCACTCGTTGCTTGATGAAGGCGGCCATTAACGGTGGATTGCTCTTAAGTATTTGGAGTATCTGGTTCTGCTGGTCGGGCGTGTGCGGACTCCTGAGAGTTTGCATCAGCTGTTGCAGAGCGTGTTTATGCATAGTACTTGCCTGCGGACCGACCTGTCCGACCGGCCCGATCACGCCCGGTTGCCGTGCCATTTGCGCACCCATTCCCATTCCCGGTTGAGCCTGATGCTGTTGTTGTTGTTGTTGTTGTTGCATCAGCTGTTGCGGTGTCTGCTGTCGCGCCAAATTGGGATTTTGTTGCATCACTGTATTCGACTGGTACCTGCTAAAAAATAAAAGAACATGCTGCCTCACAAGAATACGCAGAAACAGTGTTCTATTTTGATTTTTTGATTAATATTTTCGATAATTTATTTGTCAAAGTTAATGATGAAAAATGTGTAAAGTAAGAATTTAATAGATACCTCGCTGTCCATTGATCCATCGGGATGAGATGCGTGCCGCTGGGATTCGGCATCTGAACCGGCAACGGCCGTTGCATCTGAGGTGGCGGCATTACCCCACCAGTTTGACCTCCTACGCCGACACCCACACCAACACCACCGCCCGGTGTTACCTTACCATAGTTGACATGTGGTGCTTGTTGTCTCGCTGCCTCCTCCTGCACCTGCTTCACCACTTGTAGAACATGAGCGGGAGGAGTCTGCGTTCCGGGCTTCAATCCGATACCTGGTTGATGTGGAGTTGGCAAATTCGATGTGCTAACACCAGGTTTCATAGCGACTCCAGTCGTCATGGCAACATTTGAAGTCTGTTGTCCGGTCTGCATTGCTACAGGTCCAGTGGGCCTCGTATTCATCACAGCCATTCGCCTCCTATACACGAATAAACGCGAATATTGACTACCATTTCCGATATATAAAAGTTTGATAGATACAGTATAACTAAGCAGATAGTAAGCTTTTATTTAAGTTTAAAAGTAAATAGAAAGTAAAATAATTTATAACGCTATTATTCAGAGAGCAAGTGATATTAAGAGGTAAGGAATAAAGCTTAACAGTAAATTTAAAAATAAAAACATGCAAAAACATGCAAAAGAATCAAAATATGTTCACGTGTTTTAGTTTACGTAGCATTCTACGATTCGCTATTTAATAAAAATAGATAAAGCAATGCTTGTAATAAAAGGCAATAAAATGTATTAGTGCAATAATATACATAAAGTTGACAACTTTACTGACCTAAGCAACTGCGCTTGCTGTAACCGTTGTTGTAATTGTTGCTGCTTTATTTTGTGCTTGATGTTGGAGCAGAATGGAACGAGACATTTGGTCTCTTGGCAGTGTTTTGCATGATAACAACACAACGCAATTAACTGTTTACATATAGGACAACCACCATTTGTCTTTCTCTTGCAGTTCTTCGTGTGCATAACTACTCGCTTCATCTTTTGACAACTCGGTAGACGACAATTGGCATCTCTACATTGGCAAGCATGCACCAATGACTGAATGCATCTTTGTATCGATAATTTCCTCGCCTCCTACATTGCAGAAATAAAAAAGATATACATGAGTACATTATAGGCTTATTATAACATAAATATTTTCAGAAGATAGATTACCTGTGGATTCGTTTGTTTGGCATCGGCCGGCGAAGAGCCATCATCCAAATCAAAGCCAAGTTTCTCCATCGGATGCGGGTGACCGTCTTTATCTTTACAACTCACACATAAATCGAAATCCTGTCATAAAATTGAAGTTAGAGTAAAAGTAAATTATGAAAAGAAATAAAAGTACTTTTTTCCAAATAATCTTATACGTACGTCACAAACTGTACAATGGTATCTAGTCTCCACATGACTTTTACAGTTATTACAAGTATAAACAAACTTGTCTTGGCCTTGATTATGTAATTCGTACAACATAGACATGGAACTAAACTTTGCTCTTCTAAGCGATGAAAATTCGTAATGCCTTTCCCTTGCCATCGTGAGAAACGCGTCACGACCATCCATTAGATCACAATTGATAACAGGATCGGGATCTTGGATAGGCTAAAAAGATTTAAATAAAAATTAATAATCGCATGCATCAAGTTTTCAGAGGAAAAGAAATATAAAACATGGAAAAAACTTACTGCCAAACTGGCTGCACTTTGAGCGCTGTGCAACCTAATGACAAAAAACACTTCTTTGTGCTTTTCCATAGTGGCAAAGATTTTCGCGGAAAGATCATTGCCGGTTTGAGGAGTATTCGATTTCTTGCTATTTTTCCTTTGATTCGCTTTAGATTTGTTAGATTTTTTCGCCTTTTTCTGACCCTTCTTCTTACCGTCTGGAGTTTCTGCGTCTTCGGACAGCGAAAATATCTAAAAAGATATGAGATCGGGGATATAAATATATGAGACAAAAAACGTGATTATTGCATGCAAGTAGAAACGTTATTTATTTTCTACAACTTACCGCGTTTGCTGCAGCAGCGGCTGCTTCCGCCGCTTCAGCTTGTTTTCGTTTCTCTTCCTCTTCCTGATCTAATTCTTTAATACTTTCTTCCAACACATTCGGCCAAAAGTCGCCCTCAAAATATGGTAGGTCCGCCGCGGATGAAAGTCTGTCTTCCATGGCTTGTTTTAAGATGTCCTGCATACAAATGTTTTATTTATATATTTCCGTCTTCAAATACAGAGATACATGCGCAAATAATCAAAATGCAAAAAAAAAATGTCGTCTGCAAATCCTATGTTCATTGCTATGTAAATGTAACAAGAACACTGGCTTTGCTACAGACGTTTCTTTAAGTCTCCTTTGACACCGATACGATACCGCGACACGTAACGGAAACACAAGAGACTAGATCTAAATATCCATGAAATGCATTTATCTGTTAACCTTGTAATCGAGCACGATTCTTTCGACCATTCCCTTATCCAACATTTTCTTGTACCACTCCTGCAATCTCTTAGGCTTTGGTATTTTTTGTTCTGCGGGATGGCAGTGGAAGATATAATCGTCCCCTTCGGAAGGTGGACAAGCCCAAATGTGAGCCATAGTGTATCTGCAATTTCACATTTTTCGTCTTTATATATTTTTTAAATGTAAAATTCATTATATTCATATCTTAGATACAATATTAGATTTCTATTATGTAACTGTAATTACGTCGATTATAATTTGTCTTTTTGATTGAATGAACTTACCCAAGCTGTTTCGCGTAGTCGAGATATCCGAGAAGAATCTCGTGATACACAGCCGTTCGAAATTGTCTAGGCCGGAAGAAGTGGACAGAGTCCAGATACGCGATGTAAACTCGTCTGGTGTTAGGTGGCGTACATTCGCTTCCGTACTCCTGCACGTGCATACCGAAAAAACAGACGTCGGTGCCGTCGACCTCCTCGAACGCGAACAATGCCTTCGCGCGGTATGGGAATTCGCCGGGCATGTCGCCGTTCTCGACGAATCTACTTCGCATCCCGGGTTTGACCTCGACCACCTTGTCGCTGGATGCGACCACTCTGATCGCGACCTCACCGGCGCCCGCTTCCTTCTTCTTCAAGAAATTATTTACGCGCGTCTCGATATACGTGCCGAGTTTCGTTACGGGTAATCGTTTGGCATTGAACTTATTCTCTTTGCGTTTCTGTCCCTTCTTCTTTAAGCAATTATCACAGGTAAATCTGTCAAAGGGAAAGTAACTTCTAAGTACGCAAGATATTTTATGGCTTTATCAAACTTGAAAAGATAGTAAACAACGCGAACGCATTTTATTTTAATAGAGAGAAAATATAATTCGTCAAATCTTTTCGCGGTTATAGTTTCGATAAAATAAAATAAAATTATTTACCCTAACGGCCAGATTGCTTCCATATGGAGCACACAAATTTGATGTACTCTCCTACCACAGTCTGTACAGGTTACAAAAGGCTCTAATTCTAAGTGATCATTCTTCATTTCCTGGAACTGTTCCTTCTTGATGGCACTATGAGAAACAAAGATGTCATATAGAACCTATCGGAATAATGTTAATAAAGATTACACGCGTTAATCTTTTAATATCACTTACGTTTGAGGCTGCGTTGGATCGTCTCCCAACGTCACTGTGTCACCAGGAATGTCGTTGAAACATTTCTGACAGAAGGTGTATCTGTCGGAAAGAAGACCAATTCCCTTTAGAAGACCACTATTATATCGGCGCCGTGTGTACGGTTTTATTATGTAAATTCGATGTACGACGGCCAATTTATTCCAAATGTGTGTCCAAGTTTCAGCGTATTGAGTTTCCGTCAATTTCGGCAAGTGTTTTTTATATATATATATATATATGTACAATCAATTTTTTTCGTAATTACACATGCATGCAATGGCCAATTGTTTCGGATCCGATTTCAGTTTCGAAAGACCGTGGAAAGGCATCGTTTGGGTTTTTTTTTTCGATTACAGTTTTTTCCAGAATCAAGTATTTCGCAGTAGAGTCGAAAAGAAGCAAGGTCGCAGGCAACACAAGAAGTAAGCGGCAAACAAGGATTTGTGTATGCGTGCGCAACCCATGGGCGAAGACATACAAAGAAGAGAACAGTGCCAATGTTAAAAAAATATCAATTTATACGTCATTTTCTAAATCCTAATCGCATATACCAAAAGGCTATGCAAAGCCATTTATATCCCAGCGATCAATAAACGTTCCTTACGCTGTAACTTTCTTCAATTTTAGAACTTTAACGTTATATTTTATACTCGTATAAAACGATACATATCCCTTAAGTATATGCGCAACTATATATTACACAAACTTTAAGTGCGTGAGTTTAATACGAAAGAAAATTCGTACATATAGCTTCAAAAAAGTGTAGTTCAGGGGACTGACCTGCTTTTGCATTTATTGTCAAAAGCAAGTTAATTAACCTGTCAATTCAATTTAGCGTATTCAGCGATAGGACACTTTCATATTAAAAGGGTCTACAGAAGATGAATACGCGGGGATCACCGTTCTTCAAATGCCCTATAAGCATAGTAGAGCCGTATAGAACATTACTTAAAACGTAAAAGTCACTACTAGATGTTACAAAATACTGCAAACATGTCCCCATTGTGCACGCTCTAATTACAGAAATGTTCAAACTGCTAATGTAACATAATACTTAAAATGCCATTTCTCACATGCTCAATCGATTTAGATTAACAAAAGTAATATAATGAATTAACTAAACTTCGACTTATTAGAATACATCTATGTATTAATATTTTGATAGATTCAGCATTAATATTTAATACAATATTAACATTTTAAGCATTAGTATCTTCAAATAACGTATTATCTCTCACGTCAATAGTTCTCTACGCATTATAATTCAATGTATATTTGAGTGTAATTGTGCACTGACCTGTTTTGATACGAATAATACTTTGCATCCCTAGGTATCGTACAAAGCTGCTTGCCGTAGCAACAGAGTACCTGCGGGTTGAACGTATACTTTCTGCCGCAACAATAACCCAGTGCCTGCATCACGGGGTCTATCTCCTGCTCGAACACTTCCGAAAGCTGTGTTTGAAAAAAAAATAGAAAATAAATAAATTAGACTCGAACGTATAAAGCATATATCGCATGTTGGCGATGATATCGTTAGATAAACATTACCTTGGTGCAATATCTATAAACTCGAGAAGTCTTGCGATTATACAGCCAAGCATTATCGAACATCATCCACACGTCGTCGACGTATTCCCACGGATCGCTGTACTTTTCCGTGTCGAGTTTCTTCTTGATCGTCGATAGATCCATCGGTTTCTTCACGATAGTCGGATAATCCGGTATACCTAATGCTTGGGGATCTACCGGTTGTCGGAACGGAATGCTCTCAGGATCTTGTCGATATAACTTTTCCAACGTCGGCATCAATGCCTGACGCAATTCATCAGGCTTGAACAAGCACTTCTTCTTGTCAGTAGATGTGCCACTCGGTTGAATCGGTTCCGGCACCAAAGGTTTGATGTCAGAGGTAGCCGTGTCCTGACTGGACACGGGAGTCATGCTCTCCTCTTTAATGCCAGGCTCTTCCTTCACGGTCGCCTCATTCGAACCCTCCTCCATTGGTTCGTCCTTCGGTTCGGTTTTAATAATAATCTCATTGTTTACACTTTTACCATCCATTCTGTGATTCTGTGGCTCATCCGGTGGTTCTTGTTTGATCTCCATCTTTATTTCTTCCTTGATGGAATCCAGTTTACCTTTGTTATTATTCATCGGCGGGCTGGGTGAATTGTCACGATCCAGCGCTGCTGTAATGGCAGCCATTTGCGAGGACATAGATGTGCTACGTGGAGTGTTTAGTGCTGCTCGTTCTTGCGAGGTCATACCCTTACCAAGACTCGCAAGGCCGGCTGGGGACGGTGTTGGGCCGGAATGGGGAGGCGTCTGGTTCGATGCGGAAGAGACCGTTTGATTTGGCGTCATTAACGACGGTACAAGTGGTGTGTTTGGTGTGGACGTGGTCGACTGAGGTCCGTTAGTCGTACCTGTAGTCGTCACGGGTACGCCACCCGTTGGACTTGGTCCGCTTGACGCAGGCGGTGGTATCGTCTGTGGTGTCGATGATGCAATACCATTGTCATTAGGCGTGCTAGCTGACAATGGCCGAGTTGGAAATTGTTGATTCGATTGTTGTTGCGGCTGTTGCTGCGGCTGCTGTGCACTTGGTTGCTGCATACCACTAAACGGTGATGGTGTTTGCGGAATCGATGTTGCTGGAGTACCAACTTGACTGGGAGCACTTGTCGGTTGTGGTTGTTGCTGGCTTTGCTGCTGCTGTTGTTGCTGTTGTTGCGCCGCTTGAGCTTGGGCTTGCGCCAGTCTGACTTTCATGAGATCGGGAAATTGATGCTGGTTCTGAATAGGAGAACTGTTAGGTAAACCGGCAGTCGTGCCATTGGACGTCGGGAATTGACTAGTCGTCGCGTTGTTAGATGCAGTAGTGGTCGTGAGATTAGCCTGGGACATTTGAGGTCCAAACGGACTCAGTCCAGGATTAGGCACCATATTGGTGTTGGATGTGGATTGTCCGTTTGGGCTAGGACCGGGAGGGCCGACCAGGATGCCTTGTTGTTGCTGCTGTTGTTGCTGTATTTGTTGCTGAGCTTGCACCTGTTGTTGCTGTTGGGCCTGCTGTTGTTGTTGCGCCTGCTGTTGCTGTGGAAATTGCATCCTATTGTGCTGTTGGATAGCCATCGCTGGTATCGTTGTCAGTTGACCCATACTCGGTGAGTGGCTTCGTAAGGTAGGTGGTACTGTTCCAACAGGTTTCGATGCCCCTGGCATAACGGTACCTACATTTGGAGGTGCACATGGCCTTAATCCAGGACCAGATGTACCTGGTGGCTGCGTTGGTTGTTGCTGCTGTTGTTGCTGTTGCGCTTGCAGCTGTTGCTGTTCCTTTCGTTTTTGTCGTTTTTCGTCTACATTATTCAAATTGCACTTAGAATAAGTAAGACTTTGATATATGTTAACTTAAAAAAAAAAAAAAGATTTGTTTCTTAAAGAATTGGTTAACTAAAATAACACGCACGCACGCACGCACGCACGCACGCACGCACGCATGCACACACACAAAGTATTCTCATTAAAAATATGTTAATGACAAAAAAACACGAACTACGTAAGTTAAGCCATCCTTGTATTTAAAATAGTCTTCAAATAATGTCGAACTAATTACAAACTTGTACTAGTATCTTCTTAAGATGGCTATTACTTAAAATGGTTTTTAAATAAAAATAAACATTAGCATTAAAAATGTTTTAATGTGTTGAAATTGTATTATTTACCAAGTTCCTTTTGAATCTTGTAAATTTTCTCGGCCAATAGATGATAGTATTCCGACCGAGAGTTAGCCATTTCATACATGTCACCTTCTACCTTCCTCGCGTACGCAACTAAGTTGTGCATTCTTTTATCGAGCATGGCTTGTGGATCGGGAGTCGGGAATATCGCTTGAACCCTAAAAAAGACACACACGCTATAACGTACTGAGTTATAGCTCGATAAGTTTCGAAAAGTCATATATAATAAAATTTTCACTAACAATTTATGAACGAGATGGTTTCTGAGATCAGGAGTGACGGACAAATGCCATTCCTTTGTTCCTTGCACCGGCGTCGCAGTGACTTGTCCGGGTTGAAGACCACCTGGAAGCTGCAGATTTGCTAATCTATTTTCCCCGCCTATCACACCAGGTTGTCCAGACTCGTTCAGTCCGAACAATGTTTGCATATTAACAGATTGCTGTATATTGGCAGCAGCCGCTGCTGCGGCGGATGTGGGTCCGGTCGTCGGTACCGTCTGATTGCCGGCTACTCCGACCGTACTAGGATCGGAATTTAAAGGAAGAGATACGTTCGGAGCGACTACTTGTTGTCCAGCACCGACTACAGATTGTCCCGGTGCAGCTGAAACACACATGGGCGCCCATCGCTTGTTGCTTTTCTCGTAAAAATCTATACAAATCATATTTTATACTTTTAACAAAATATAAAAAAAATAATATAACAAAATATAATTTTATACAATACATACAATACAATAAATTTTATAAAATGTTTTAGAATTGAAAAAAGCAAACAATTAATATAAAATGTCATGCAACTCACCCTGTGTTTGAGGTTGCGCTAATCTAACGTTGCCCAGTGTTCCTGGAGGACCCGCCATGCCGGGAGCTGGCATTCTGACGCCTCTTCCAACGCCTTGACCGGGCAAGATTCCCGGTGTCGTTGTTGGACATTGAATCCCTAAAGCTTCATAAGCCCTTCTCATTTCAGATGGACTTGTATTTGGCTGATTATTTGGTTGAATTGCGGACGCTATTGATAAAAAGAACACGTATATAATGTAAATGTATAGGATATCTCCAGATAAGTACCGTTTGAAATAACTGCTAAAAAAATTATGAAAAACGTAAACACATTTTATTCCTTTGCATTATTAAAGTTTTACTTTCTAAAAAATCATAAAATGTGTTTATGTTTTTTGAAGAATTTTCGGAGATCGCCAAAATATTAAAGTGACACAAATATTTTCAAATTACCTTGCGCAGAATTAGTCCTATTCTTATTTGCTTGTTTTATTGGCAAGCAAACTGGGCAATCACTTCGATTACAATGTCTCCAATGATTGATAATTTGCCTAGACATGCTACAATGAGGCACCGTACAAGATTTACCAACTTGACAATTCGTCATGTGATTCAAAACATTTTTCATGGTTTTACAGTCCGGCAAGGTGCACTGTCTCATCTCGCCGTTCGTTTGACTCTCGCGTCGCTGGCATTTATGCGCATGTAAAAGTAGCACCAATTGTTGCTGTATGAGTCTACATTTTTCTGGATCTGGTGTCGATTTTACGCCTAAATCGAACAAAGTTCGTATTGAGCGAAGGCATTGCAACAAATAACATGATTTATTATATCTATAATAGTCCAGAGACACAATAGTGTCTCGGCGCTAAGAAAAACGCGTAGCGTTTTAGCGCGAGACAGTACAGTGTATCTTTACGTGGAGCGATAAGTTTTCTGAGACCT